CTTTTTTTTTTTTTTTTTCCCAAACTTTTGCTTAGATATCATTTATCCCATAAAGACTATCTTTAACAAGTACGAGTTAGGATGCTTTTCTTTATTCTCCTTGGTTCTTACCAAAACATCACTAGCAGATCTATGTAGGATAATTGACATTTATTTTAAAGTCACCTCTACTGGACATGAAATTCTGTGAGGCTAGTGATATCTCTATCTTGTCTAGTATTATATCTGTGATCATAACACAGTCCCTTTTAGTTGCTTAATAAATCTTATTTGAATGAAAAACAAAATAAGTGGCTGATTATATTAATAAAACATGTATGCGAAATTAAAGTTTCTACATAATACCTTCCAGTGTAATTTAAATGTCCTTAGGACACCTAACACTAACAATAAATATATGGGTTGTGTATGAAGAATACTGTGTTAAATTGAATAACTATATTAATAGACACATGACACGTTCATGCTTGTGAAGTTTGAAAATTGTCAAGATGTCAAATCTCCCCGAATCTATTGACAAATTCCTTGCAATTCAAATAGATTTTATTTTTGGGTTACTCTAAAGTTCATATAGAAAAATAAATGAGAAAAGTGAAGAAAATTTAGAAAGGAAAAATTGTTTAAACATCCAAGTAAATATTATACTATATTATACATCCATAGTGCCTAAAACAGAGCGATAGTAATGTAAGAGTAGCACAGAGAACAATGGAACAGAATTAGAAGCTTAGAAAAACAGACCTAATATATCTAGATAATAATTTTAAGATCAAAGTGTAACTTAAAATCATTAGAGAAACATGGCTGATTATTCATAAAATGACACAGAAATAATAAATGTTTTAAAAAGTGGAAAATTTAATCTTTAACTCACATTGTATACCAGAACATGTAATTATAATATCACAGGTTGAATATCCCTTATCTGAATTGCTAGGGACCTGAAGCATTTTGGATTTTGGATTTTGGATTTTGGATTATTTGCATAATGCTTACCAGTTGAGCATCCCTGATCCAAAAATTTGAAATCTCAAATGAATTCTCCAATGAATATTTCCTTTCAGCATGACCTTCGAGTGTCCTAATGGTGCTCAAAGTTTTGGATTTTGGAGCATTTTGGATTTTAGGATTAGGGATATTCAACTTGTACTTTTTTCTGATATAAAAATGTAATTATAATATGCTATCTTATACATATGAAGATCTTGCAAACAGGTACCAATTCTGTGTGCTTTTTAAAGTTATTTTTCCACCAACATTATTGTTTTATTTATACATGTGTATCTAAACACTCTGCCCCAGTGTTCTTTCTTATTAAGATCTTAATTTTGTCCAGCAGTGTTCTTTTTTATTAAGATCCTAATGTTGTCCAACTGCCATATGCCCACATATGCTGCCTAGGAATCTGGATTCTGCATGCACTTCCTGGGGACCCAATGACTGGCATACTTAGGGCCTGTGTGTGCCACCCAGGGGCCCAAGCCTGCCTGGAACCTACTGGTGCTACCACCAGTGCCCACATGCGGCATCCAGGGGCCCAAGTGCTGGCCTGCCTGAGGCCACCATTGCTGCCCTCATGTGCCACCTAGGGGCTTGCAGACCAGCCTGTCTGGGGCCCACTGCTACCACTGCCCGTGCCCTCATATACCACCCGGGCTTGAGGATTGGCCTGCCCAGGCTTGCTGCCACTGGTGCCCACCAATGCCAGTGTCCATGTGCAGCCCAGGAGCTGTTGTTGCCAGCGCATGCTGCCTGGGCACCCGAGAATTGGCCTGCCTGCCCAGGGTCCACTGGCATCCATGCATGTGCCATTTGGGGGCCCAAGGACAGGCCCACTTAACATCCCCATCGCCAGCAGTTGTACTACAGCCTCAAAAATAAATGCACCCTAAGTCACTGAGGAATTCTCAGATACTGCTGACAATTATGGCCCAAGAAATCAGATGGAGACTATGCTACTGCTTCTATCTAGAACCAATGCCAAAACACACTCTACCCTACTGGTGTTATAGATACATTGACAGGAAAAAGTTTTATGAAAGGTACTCCATAAAATTGGAAGAAGCAATTTTTACAACAGATGTGCAGATATCAGCATAGTGACACAAGAAACATGAAAACGTGAAAAAGAAAGGAAATATGATACCTCCAGAGGAACACAATAATTCTCCAATAACGTATCCCAAAGAAAAGGAAGTCTAAAATTCCTGAAAATGAATTCAAAATAATAATCATAAGGAAAGTCAATGATATACAAAAGAGCACAGATAAACAATACAAAGAAATCAAGAAAACAAATCATGATCTGAATGAGAAATTCAACAGAGATAGATATCATAAAAAAGGACCAAACAGAAATTTGAGAACTGAGGAATTCAATGAAATAAAAAATTCAGTTTAGAGCTTCAACAATAGACTAGGTCAAGCAGAAGAAAGAATTGTTGAACTTAAAGATAGGTATTTTGAAATAACCCCATCAGAAAAAAACAAAACAAAAAAAAGAATGAAGAAAGCCTACATGACATATGGGAAACCATTCAGTGAACTAATGTCTATATTTTGGGTTTGCTGAAAGTAGAATAGATGGGAAAAGGCATAGAGAACCTATTTAATGAAATTGTAGCTAAAAACTTACCATGTCTTGGGAGAGAAGTAGACATCCAGACAAGGAAGTCCAAAGATTTTCAGATAGATTCAACCCAAAAAGGTCGTCTTTGAGGCATATTATATTCAAACTGTCAAAAGTCAAAAACAAAATTCTAAAAATGGCAAAATAAGTGCATCTGGTCATATATAAGGGAGTCCTCAGCAGACTAACTGCAGATTGCTCAGTGGAAACCTTATAGGTCAGGAGAGAATGGGATGATGCATTCAAAGTATTGAAAGAACTGTCAACCAAGAATATTATACCCAGCAAAGCTATACTTCAGAAATGATGGAGAAATAAATTCTTTCCCAGACAAGCAAAAACTGAGGAACTTCTTCACCACTAGACTGGTCCTACAAGAAGTGCTTAAGGGAGTCCTACATCTGGAAGCATCAAAATGTATCTACTATTGTTAAAACACACAGAAGTATAAAACTCCCTATAGGAGCAGTTACACAAATGAGAAAGAAAAAGAATCAAATATCATCACTATAGAAAACCACCAAGCTACATAAGAGAGGAACAAAGGATATACAAAAACAATCAGATAACAGTCAACAAAATGACAGTAAGAGCTCACCCATCAATAATAACCTTGAATGTAAATGGTTTAAATTCCCCCAGTTAAAAGATATAGTCTGCTGCATGTATAGCAAAACATGACCCAACCATAGCTTCATACAGGAAACTCACTTCACCTGGAAAGACATACATAGACTAAAAGTAAAGGAATGGAAAAAGATAGTCTATGCAAATGGAAACCAACAGTGTGCAGGAATAGCTATACAATCATATCAGTCAAAATAAACTTTAAATAAAAAACATAAAAAGAAACAAAGAAGGTCAGTATATAATGATAAAGGGACCAATTCAGCAAGAGGATATAACAATTACATATATATCCAACACTGGAGCACCTATATATATAAAGCCAATATTAACAGAGCTAAGAAAGATAGATAGGCCCCACTACAATAATAAATGGGGACTTTAGCATCTCATTTTCAGCATTGGACACATCATCTAAACAGAAAATCATCAAGGAAACATTGGACTTAAACTTCACCATAGATCAAATGGACCTAACAGACACTTACAGAATTTTGCATTCAATAGCTGTAGCATGTGCATTCTTCTCTTCAGCACATGAAACATTTTCCAGGGTAGGCCTTGTGTTAGTCCACAGAACATGTCCCACAAATTTTAAAAGATCGAACTCATATCAAGTGTCTTCTTAGCCCACATGGAATAAAACTAGTAATCAATAACATTAGGAACTATGAAAACTGAACAATACATGGAAATTAAACAACATGCACCTAAATGACCAATAGGTCAATGAAGAAATTAAGAAGGAAAACAAAAAGTTACTCGAAACAAATGAAAATAGAAACACAACATAACGAAATCTACCTGAACAGACCAATGTAACAAGATTGAGTCAGTAATAAACAGTCTCCAATATCCCTGATGAACATAGATGTAAAAATTATGAACAAAATATTAGCAAAGTGAATCTAACAGCACATCAAAAAGATGAAACACCATGATGGAGTGGGATTTATCTCAAGAATGCATGGATTGTTCAACATGTATAAATCAATAAAATTTACTCTCTCAGTTTTCTATGAGCTATATTTTTTTCTAGTATTTTAATTCTGTCTTTTTTTAATTTCAAAGTATTATGGGTTACAAATAATTTTGGTTACATGAATCGCTTTTATAATGCTTGGGTCATGATTATAAGAATGCCCACCACCCAAATATTGTTCATTGTACCTGTTAGGTTTTCTCCCTTCCTCCCCTCTCTCTCCCCTAGTTGATGTCCGTTGAGTTTTACTTATCTCTGTGCACATATGTGCTCATCGTTTAGTTCCAATTTAGTAGTGAGTATATGAACTATATTGTTAAATAAACATGGTATGGTATATCAAACATAACGCAACTGTGTGTTTTTGGTTAGCACTCTTTAGAGGTAACTTCTTAACCCATCCTAAGTACAATGATTTTTGTAATTGTGTCCTGTATACTATTCAAATGAGCTATGTTTATTCTTATACCCAATGGTATTGGTTTCCATAGTGTATATAAGTTTTATTTTTGTTTTTTCTGTTAGACTTTCAAATATTTACTCTTTTTTCTAGCATAAAAGCCATTAGATTTTCTAGCATAAAAGCCAGCAGTGCCTATCTGAAACAGTTTAGGTCTTGGGATATCTATTATTTTATTATTTTTATAACTGTGTAATTTAGAATATTTATATCTTTTTTAGCTTCTTTGATGATAGAAGTTCATTTTGTACTTGAATATCTTACCGCCCCTAATGTGAATCTATCCTTGGCTTTACAGAAAGAAGAGAAGAGGAAGATTTTGAAGAGAAGAAAGCTATTAAGAAAAAAATTAAAGAACTTAAATTTCTAGATTCTAAAATTGCTCAGAACCTTTGTAAGTATCACATTTCAATACTATTAAATTATCAGAAGACACTGAAGGTGGTTGCTTTAAATGATTTCATTTTGTTTATGACTTGTTTTTCATTTTATATGATTTTAATTTTATTATTATTTTCTTGATAAATTCAGAGGCAACTCTCTTTTATGCAAATGGGATTAAATGTTTCAAAAGTTAAATGCATATTAGCAAATAAAGATAAGAAAAAGATTTAGAATGAAATTCTATCTCCCTTAACTGAAACGAGAACCACCCTTTAAAATCCCTCTTTTAAGTATAAAAAGACTCGAGGAATTCAGGTTATCACATCATATTTTTTAAAAAAATTTGTAGTATATTACTTCTTTTCTAACCCTGAATCTGTATTATTTGTGGTACTTGATCATGTATGAAGAAGGTTAGAATATTAATGGAAATAAAAGGATGGTGAGTAAAATGAACTCAGTTATCCCACCTGAGCAGTTCAAAACCTTAACTCAAAAATTCTGAGTGGAAATATTTTAGATTTAATTATGGTTATAGAAGCTAAATACTTAGTATTGAATTATCTTCTTGACTGAATTACTCTGGGAGAAGAGGGCAAATAGTTTGCTCCTAACTCATTTCTAACTTCAGTGCATCCCTTCAATGCATCAAAGATAGTTCTGCTTAGAGCTGAGATAATATGATCTGTATATGTTACTTTCTGATGGTGAAAGATGGATATAAATATGTAGAGAATTTAGAGTGACAAAGAGTTAAAATGGTTTTTGGTCTGCCTCTCAATTATTGCATGCTTCAATTGAGCTTTTAGCAAGTGTTGGAATAAAACAATTCTCCATTGAGAGGATAAAGGTCCTTGCTATTGATTAAAGAGGAAATTGTGTTTTAGGTAATATGTCTACAAAGTAGAATTGGAAACGCTTTTATGGAAGTTGTGGAACCTCTTCTCCTTCACACTAACTATGAGACCATTCCTTTTCTACAATGTCTGCCTGCCAGGGTCCCCAGGGATACTGTGGAGGCATTGATGCTATTGGCCAGTATTCAGTTCTCTATTTTTGGGCACAAGTTGATTGCATATTTCTACCCTTTTCAAGATAGGAATCACCATGTATGTGACTTTCTTGGGCCATTGGAAAAGTGAGTACAAGAGATGTCACTTTTAGGTGGAAGCATTTAATTGATGGTAAGAGAAGCAATAGTCTTTTTTCCCTGGCAGAGTGCTGTACATCATCCAGATACAAGGCCCATAATTAACAGAGCCCTGCCTTTCTGATGTGCTATGGACATGTGGTCATAGTTGGAAATAAATTTTTTGTGCTTAGACAACTGAGATTTGGGGGGGTTTTACATGATTCATAAATTTCAGGTAGTTTTTTCCCCCTTAAAAGAACATTGTCTTAGTTCAGAGCACTGCGTTATTAACTTAGATAATGTCAAAAAGTTCTGTGCTCTGTGCTCTAAAATCGATCATTTTGTTTTGAAAAATGTCCATGACCTGCATTACAAATTGGTAGTCTTGACTCGAAAAAACCTTGTTATGGTTCCTGAAGAGGTTTTATTGTGTTGAATAGAATTCTTTCTGGATGGGTCAGCCATGATAAGTTAGCCTAAATATCCTTCTCAAAGTTGAATAATTAACTTGTTGAACAAGGCTATTTATTTTTTTATATTAAAAAATATGTGCTAAATAGGATTTCAAATTTAATTAAAACAGCTAAAAAATACTGATTACCTTTTGATGCTACTTTGAGATTTGGCCCTTTAGTTTTTACTACAACCACACTAAGGCAGGTGTTAGCACTGACGTTCTAGGTAGGGAATCTGGCGGGTATAGCAGTTGAGTAACTTGAATAAAGTTGCTGATTTTGAAAATAGCCATTAGATACAAGGTATATCTATTCCTGTTTACAGATAACAAAATCTCATTATTATCATAGAGAAAGCTCATGTTTGTCTTGTTTTTTTTTTAGCTAGAAGTTATATCCCATTCATTTAATTGAGAAACATGTTTTAAAATATAAGATCAAAAGATAAAGAATTTATACCATGTCATATTATGATGTAATCCATTTTAGAATTATTTTTGCCCTCTCTGATTGTAGCAAGTATTATGATTTAAGCTGTGAGAAGCCTTAGTAGCCTGTAATCTTTCCTGTTATTATAGTTTGATTCACAGCTGGTTTTTGTTTATGAAATTCAGAGATTCTGAATTCTGAGAAGAGTTTTATTTTAGATAGTGAGAACTGTTTTTGAATGAGATAAATTGGAGTAAAACAGTGGTCAGTAGTAGAATACTGATAATAAATTTGAGAGATTCACTTCTAAAGTTTATTGAAGAGAGAAATTGTGGGTCTGTACTAGATAATTTCTTGGATTTTTCTTAACTGAAATATTCTATAGAATTTTGAGGAAACATGCTATAGAATTCTAAAAGTCACTAATTTATTTTCCTACTTGTTTAAAGGTGGGTGGTATACGTTTCCTATATTTTGAGTTCATGAAGGTTTTGGCACAGACTCTGGGCCCATCATTAAAGATAGAATTACAGGCATTCTAGGATCGAGAGAATGCTCAGGAGTTTTGTAAGATTCATGTGTTTTACCAGATTTGTTTTCATTAGCTATTAGAGCTGTTAAGGGAAGGAAACCTGGAATCTACAAATTATCATAAAGTTTTAAATATTGATAAATTTCCTTGCAGAAAACAAAGCATGACTCGTTCCAAAATCTGCGCACTTTATACCTGTTAACTGAACTCAAAGCTTACGATTGGGATCTATATAATCACCTTTTGAAGGATAAGATGTATGTTAGTAAAAAGATTCATTTTAATGGGTCTTTTGGAGGCTTTAACTGAGCACCTCTTATTTTATTCTTGGTAACTTTTAAGTATTTAAAAAATAAAGTCTATACTTCTGAATCGTCTCTTAGGCATCAGGTCATTTTCAACTCTTTTGTAATTTTTTTGCCCTAATTATAGCAAATGCTTTCCAAAGGACAATTTATTCATAAGCTATAAAAATCCCCTTCTTTGATCCATTATAAATATGTGTTTAATATTATATGCTACTTTAATTATAGAATAATACCTGAAAGTAGTGAGTAAATGACAAATATAGGAGAAAGTAAAATAATGTCATCTCTATATGCAAAGCAAATTCTCCTAGTATTATAACATTGTACCTTTCCTGTTTTTCATGTATTTATTATATGCTATTATATATTTTTTGTTATGTAATTTATTTATTCATCTCATTTATTATTTACTTACATAATTGTGTAAGTGGGATTATGCCGTTTTTTAATCTGTAAAATTAGTGGGTCTGCAATACCACCCTCACTTCTGTCTGATACTGTTCGCAAGTTCAGAGGTCCCGAAAATCATTCTCAGGTTTGGTAATTCGTAAAAAGGACTTATAGAACTTGCTGAAGCTGTTTTACTTTTGGTTATGGTTTATTACAGCAACATAGTAGATTATAATCAGTCAAGTGAAAAGGTGTGTGGCTGAGTCTAGGAGAGTTCCAAGTATGAACTTTCCAGTTTTCCTCTCCCAGTGAAGTTGTCGGTAGCACCAACTTCTCCCGGGAGAGACTTTCCTTTACCCATTGTGTGTTCATAGCACCTTTGTCCAAAATGAGTTGGCTGTAAATTTGTGGATTTATTTTTGGGCTTTCTATTCTGTTCTATGTTTTTGTTTTTATGCCAGTACCATGCTGTTTTAGTTACTATAGTTGTGTAGTATATTTTGAAGTCAGGTAGTGTGCTGCCTCGAACTCTGCTTTTTCCTCAGTTGCTTTAGCTATTCGAGGTATTTTGTGTTTCCATGTGCATTTTAAGATTTTTTTTTTTTCTATTTCTGTGAAGAATGTCATTGATATTTTGATAGACATTGTGTTGAATTTGTAGATTGCCTTGGGAGGTATGGATATTTTTCCAATCTATAAACAGGAGATCTTTCCATTTATTGTGTCATCTTCAATTTCATTCATCAATGTTTTACAGTTTTCATATATGGAGATTGTTCACCTCTTGGCTTAAATTTATTCCTAGGTATTTTGTTATTTTTTTGGTAGCTATTTTAAATGGGATTTTTTTTTCTTGATTTCTTATTCAGATAGTTTGGTATTAGTATATAGAAATGTTAATAATTTTTGTGTGTTGATTTTTGTATCCTGCAACTTTACCAAATTTATTTATTGGATCTAATGGTTTCATGGTAGACTCTTTAGGATCATGTTTTCTGCAAACAGGGGCAATTTAACTTCTTCTTTTCAATATGGATGCCTTTAATTTTTTTCTCTTGCCTAATTGCCTTGGATAGGACTTTCAACCTTTCCCTATTCAGTATGTTAGCAATGGGTTTGTCATGTGTGGCCTTTATTGTGTTTAGGTACATTTCTTCTATCGCTAATTTGTTGAGAGTTTTTATCATGAAGAAATGATGAATTTTGTCAAATGCTTTTAGTATCTATTGAAATGAATACACGGTTTTCTTCTTGATGCTATTAGTGTGATGTATCAAGTTTATTTATTTACATATTTTAAACCATCTTTGCATCCCTGCATGAATCCCACTTGATCATGGTGAATGAATGATCTTTTTAATGTGGTGTTGAATTATGTTTGTTGAGGATTTTTGCATCTATGTTCATCAGGGATATTGGCCTATAGTTTTCTTTTTTGTTGTATTTTTGTTTGGTTTTGGTAACAGGGTAATGCTGGCCTTCTAGAATGAATTTGGCAATACTTTCCACTCTTCAGTTTTTTTGGAATAGTTTGAGAAGAATTGGTATTAGTCCTTCTTTAGATATTTGGTAGAAATAAGCAGTGAAACCATTAGGTCCTTGACTTTAATTTGTTGAGAGACTATTGTTGATTCAATTTCTTTTCCAGTTATTGGTCTTTTCATGGTTTTATATTATTTTATAATTCAATTTCAGTAGGTTATATGTGTCTAAGAATTCATCCATTTCTTCTAGGTTATCCAATTTATCGAAGTACAGTTATTC